CACAAATGAATGACAATCTGCAGCTTGAAAAATTTTGGTATAATTGAGTTCATCTGGCCCCAACTCCAGGGTTCTGTCTGCGCCTACAGGATGGCTTCAGATAGGAGGGGAGGAGGGAGGGGTTCTGACCCAGGGATGCCACAGGGAAGAGAGTAATGAGCACGGGCCAAATAGGGAGAAAACAATGTTCTTCCAATTCCCTTTTCAGCCCCTTGGCCTGGGTTTGAGCTCCTATTAGTAGGACTGAATGTTAGAAACTACTGGAATGTGGGGACCCCTGGGTGGCCCAGTCGGTTAAGCATCCGACTTCGGCTCAGGTCATGATCTCACAGTTCATGGGTTCAAGCCCCGCATCGGGCTATGTGCTGACAGCTCAGAGCCTGGAGCCTGCTTCACTTTCTGTGCGTCTCTCGCTCTCTGCCCCTCCCCCACTCACGCTCTGTCTCCCTCTCAAAAATAAATAAACACTAAGAAAAAAAAAAGTGGGGCGCCTGGGTGGCTCAGTCGGTTAAGCGTCCGACTTCAGCTCAGGTCGCGATCTCACGGTCCGTGAGTTCGAGCCCCGAGTGAGGCTCTGGGCTGATGGCTCAGAGCCTGGAGCCTGCTTCCAATTCTGTGTCTCCCTCTTTCTATGCCCTTCCCTCGTTCATGCTCTGTCTCTCTCTGTCTCAAAAATAAATAAACGTTAAAAAAAAATTAAAAAGAAAAAAAGAAAAAAATAGAAACTACTAGAACGTTATAAAACTTTGGGCACAAACCAGGCTACTTCGGGGTTCTAGATCAGGAATGAGTAAACTACAACCTTCGGGCCAAATCCACCCATCCACCTGTTTTTATAAATCATGATTTATTGGAACACAGCCGTGCCCATTAATTTGCATATTGGCCACGCCTGCTTTTGCTACAACTATAGATCTTGGTAGTTGGGATTGAGACCGCGATCGCATGTACTATTTGTAGATCGAGTATGTACTATTTGGCCCTTTGCGGGCCAAGTTTGCCCACCTCTGGTATAGACGGAAAGTGTCCCCTATGTCTGTGCGAGGAAACCAGCCTGGCTCTGAGACACCCAAAGGGCAGCTTCCTTTTCCAGACAGGCGATGTCATCCCTTCCCCAGCGTTCAGAGGCCAGGGATGTGCACCAGCAGCAGCAGAGCCCAAGTAGGAGAGGCTGCCCGGGGCGGATTCTGGTGTGGACCACTGCTGCAGGTTGGGGAGTGTCTGGAAGCACTTGGGGTGTTACTGCCGTGAGCCGGCTGACACTGGGGGTTCCATCTGCATTCCCACTGCCTGGTTCTAAATCAATAGTAAGTAAATGTATGGCTTCAATGAGAAAGGAATTGGCAAGTGACACAGAAACTATTATCAGAGCTCCTCTGGCAGGCGGTGCCGGAAAAGAGCCTGCGTGCCTGCAGCCCAGGACGATTTCAATTCTCTCTCCTACATAGTGATTCAGGACACTTTGCTCTGTAGTTTTGGCAAGTAGTTTGAAAGATGAAGACTACAGTTGGGGCGCCCGAGTGGCTCAGTCAATTGGGCATCCAACTCTTTTTTTTCTTTTAATGTTAATTTATTTTTGAGAGAGAGAGAGACAGAGTGCAAGCAGGGGAGGGGCAGAGAGACAGAGAGAGAGAGAGAGGGAGACACCAAATCTGAAACAGGCTCCAGGCTCTGAGCTGTCAGCACAGAGCCCGAGGCGGGGCTCCAACCCACTGACCGCGAGACCATGACCTGAGCCGAAGTTGGACGTTTAAGGGACTAAGCCACCCAGGCGACCCTGGGCATCCGTCTCTTGATTTTGGCTCAGGTCATGGCCCCACCGTCATGGGATAGAGCCCCGTGTTGGGCTCTGTACTGAGCATGGAGCCTGCTTAAGATTCTCTCTCTCTCTCTCTCTCTCTCTCTCTCTCTCTCCCCCTCTTTCTCTCTCTCTCTCTCAAAAATAAATAAATAGGGAGGCCTGGGTGGCTCAGTCAGTCAGGTGTCTAACTCTTGGTTTCAGCTCAGGTCATGATCTCTCGGTGTGCATGTTTGAACCCAGCATTGGGCTCTGCGCTGACAGGGCAGAGCCTGCTTGGGATTCTCTCTCTCCTTCTCCCTCTGCCCCAGCTTGTGCCCTCTCTCGATCTCTCAAAATGAATAAAATGAACTTAAAATATAAACAAACAAACTTAAAAAAAGATGAAGAGTATGATTATCGCTAACAATAAATATGAAGTGTTCACCAACTGCTGAGCATTATTCTAGGTCCGTTATATGTAGCAATTCCATTTTTTTTCTCACGACAGGAAATTCTACTTGAATCTCAGTTTACAGTTGAGGAAACCAAAGCACAGAGAGGTTCTGTCACCTGCCCAGGGAGAAACAGCTACTTGCTGGCAGAACCAGAATGTGAAAACAGGATGATCTTTGTAGTTGAAAGAAAGAAAAAAGGATTGCTGCGATGCCAGAGATGTTGGCTCATTCATCAAACCCGGTGGGTTTTCCTGCTCGGTTGCTTGCTGCCACCTAAGAATTCGCTTAGCAAATCGGCAAGCATGTGCCTATGTTTGTTCTCTTTCTATCTGTGATTGGTCTAGAGGTGGACGTGTTACTCATCTGGGTCAATAAGCTGTCAGAAACCTGCTGGGGGCTTCTGAGAAAGATCTCCTCACATGGAAACCCTACTCACAGGCAAAGGCAAGTGGAAAGATAGATGCGAATTTCTTATCAGTGATACCAATAAACCCCTACTGTTTGGACCATTTTTAGTCAGCTATTCTGTCACTTACACAGTCTCCATTCCATTCCACTGTACTATGTCCTTCATAGCTCTATTGCAATCAGGAACTATCTTATTTATTGATTTCTCTCCTTATCCGCCACTTTCTCTTCTAACACACAAACTCCCTGGGGCGCCTGTGTGGCTCAGTCAGTTAAGCGTCCAGCTACGGCTCAGGTCACGATCTCTGGTTCGCAAGTTGGAACCCCACGCCGGGCTCCGTGCTGACAGCTCAGAGCCTGGAACCTGCTTCAGATTCTGTGTCTCCCTCTCTCTCTGCCCCTCCCTTGCTCGCACTCTGTCTCTGTCTCTGTCTCTCTCTCTCTCTCTCTCAAAAATAAATAAACAGTGTTTTAAAGAGCTTTAAAACATAAATTCCCAAGAACGGAGTTCTTACATCCACCACTCACTGCTCTGTCCCTGGGGTCTAGACCATGTCTGGCCAATCTAAATGTAAACCCAAGAGTCTCACAGTGCAGTGGGGAAACAGAAAAATCAAGTTAAAATACCATGTAATAAATGTAACCTTCGAGGTAAAAATCAGAGAAGATTGTCCACTAAGGGGGCTGTGCTTTATAAAACTGTTGCCAGTGTGGTCTCAGATTTCCCCCTTTACCCAAATTCTCATAGATAAAAGCCCTATTATTTGAAAGCTTGCTTTTAAAAGAGATCACACAGCATCCATTTAAACCAGGCAATCCAGTTATGCAAATGTGAGTAAGGACTGGTCCTTTGGGGAGGTGACCCAAATGCCTAAAGTTTCAGAAGCTGTGACCTTTGTTCCAGGCTAGGGAGGTACATGGCACTTGGGATGGACAGGGCCCCGGTCTCCACAAACTTCGTTGCTTCTTTGGGGCCCTGGTGGCTCCTGGGGAGTTAAGTGCGTTCTGACAGAAAGGAGGCACAGGCCTGGTCATCCCACCTGCTTACAGGAACAGGGATGGACTTGGCTTCCTCCATGCAGCCTGGGTTGGCCTGTTCGTGCCCTTCAGGATGGAATCTCTAGAAATTGCAAATGTGAATGTCCTGTGAGATTGAACAATTGTAAACATCCCCAAAATGGACTGATACTGTGTTGTGACATGATCGGCCTACGCAACCAAATGAACAAACACGTGCTGATAATCGGCTCTCGTGCTCGGACTGATTGTCATTGCAGGTGGGGGGATGGGAGGGAAGGACTCTCGCTTGTGGGAAGCAGCGACGTCCGCTGTCAGCATTCCTGGGAAGAGGGGAATCTGGGGATGAGAAACAGACCGGAGAGATGGGTCTCAGGCTCGAGGGAGGACACTCCTCTCTCTAGGAAAGGGGTAGGCAAACCTCCTCTGTAAATATCCAGATACCAGATATTTTAGGCTTTGCAGGCCACACCTCTGGTTGCTGTCACAATTACTCAACTTTGCCATTATAGCATGAAAACAAGCATAGACAAGACATAAATGAACGGGCCTGGCTGTGTTCCAATAAAACCTCACAAGACAGGCAGCAGGCTGGGTTTGGCTCATGGGCCATAGTTTGTCTACCTCTGTTTTAGAGCACCGGGGTGAAGGGAGGGGGCCTAGGAACCAAAGGAGGTAGATACACCGTAGGCAGGTAAGCCTAATTCCAAGTAGGTGCCTGCCCAAGAGTTATGCCAACAGGCTACCTTCCAGAACCCTGTACGGATGTGAGCTCTGAAGATACCTGTTTCTTATAGCAGTTATAAGACAGTACCTGTTATCTCTCGTGCTAACTCCTAAACTTGCCTTCAGGTAGAAGTCACAGCCTTGGCCTGGTGTCTTAAAGGAAGCATGAGAAGGGCCTGCCTTATATGGGGGACCCAGGAGCAAAAGGGATGGCTGTTCTCTGACCCCAGAGGCGGTGGTGGCACCAGTGGACCCCAGCAGAGGATGGGGTCCCCAGAGAAGGTGGCTGTCGAGGAACAGGAGAAGCATGTTCCTGAGAGAGAAGGAAGCAGTAGAGCCCTAGGAAAGAAAGCCAATCACCGCAGACACTGCTCTGTTGGCGTGTGTTGAGTGTGGGCCGCCATGACTAGGATGCTTAAGGAAAATAAGGTCTTCTTTTCTAATCATGGGCAGTGAAGACTGGGTGTGCTGGTTGCTCGTCTTCGGACACACAAAGGAAGCACGGAGTAGGTGGTCAACCAGTTGTTCCTCCACTGACTGACTGTGCCCATCCCATCCTATGTGAGCCGGAGAGCCCCTGCCGTTAGATTCAGCTCAGCACAGTGACCAGGCAGTTAGAACCAAGAAGTTAACTGCTTTATTTTCAATCACGGGAGTCATACAGATTTGCTCAGCTTCCGCCCCACCAGAGAGAAAAGCCCTTCGTTGTCGCACATGGTGGAAGAATACCTTCGAGAGATCACCTCAAACTGCTCAACCGAGAAGCCAGCCTCCCTCACGGCAGCTTCTATTGCCTCCCGGCCCAGGCAGAGGCTGGAGAACTTCTGCTCGCCGATCATGTAGTAGCTGCTCTTCAGGGCATCCACCACCACCAGGAAGCCCCCCGGCTTTAGCAGGCTGCTGAGGTTCCGGAGGGCTGTGCAGTAGGCAGGGAGGTCTGGGCAGGCGGCATCCAGGCACAGCGTGCTGAGCAGGCAGTCGGCTAGGGGCAGGGGGACGCTGCCCAGTGGCCGGCTCTGGGTCACGTCGCACTTGAGCACCTGTGTGACCACACGCCTCAACTTCTCCTCCTTCTCCAGCTCCTTGATTCTGAAATACACAAACCAACAGATACCACTTGCTACCCTATACTCATGATAACCCCGGATCTCTGCAATCAGGGCTGAAAATGGCAGTATTGTCCCAAATGTTATATCCTCGGGGCCATCCCTGATGGGAAAATGGAGGAAGAAGAAAAATGAAGGATGCTTTGGCATATTAATGTGACTACGTTACCCTGTGCTGGATTAAATCTCTTTATAACGTGAGTAATAATATGGAAACAATAACAGAAGTACCTAGCTGCCCGCTTCGACCATGGACTGTCTCCACGAAATTATTCTTCCTCCACTGCTTAGGATAGTGCCTGGCTCCTTTATTACTGTTATTGTTATTATTATTATTATTATTACTATTACTTATTTATCTGTTTGTGTATTCATTATTACACTGGCCTCTTCTGTCAAACTGCAACATGGTGGTCATTCGACCGATACATATCAGGTAATAATGGCTTTAAAATGTGGAAACGGTATTTCTGCGTAGCTGCTGATCAGGCTGGGGCGTGAGGTCATCCACAGACATTTAGAGAACTGTTGATAAGCACCCAACAACGGCGGCCAGGGCCCCTCTAGAAAGAAAAGTTGCCATTCTGCAACCACAAAACATAACGCAGAGAGTGTGTTTTATGAAGGGGCTCATTTTCTGGGTAGCTTTGCTCAGAATACTTTCCTTTTCTGCAAAATCAGTGGGGTTTCCGGAGAGAAAACTAGTTCACGAAAGAGACAGAGAAGGGGAGAACTGCAGATGAAATAGAGTGTCTGGGATCCTTTCGGAATTTGTTAGGGGAGGCACGAAGGAACAGGCGGACAGAGGATCCGAATTAAATAAACATGTAGAGCGCACAGGAGAAACTGGAGAAAAAAGAAAAGGAGAAAGAAGTAGCAGAAAATCAGAGGGGTAAGAGAAAAGCAAGAATGAGCGTGTAAAGCGCCCAGAAGGCCACAGAGCCCAAGTGGTAGGAGCGATGAGTGTGTATCTAGTGCTTTGAGGAAATTAATCAACAGAGCCCCAGGGGTGCAAATCTAGCCTTACAGTCAGGAAACACACAGTCCATTTGCTGCAGGAGAAGACAGCCTCTTCTTGACGGAGACCACAGATGAAGGCCCAACATCAGAGCAGGTGAGAGAGGGACGTACTTCGGGACCACTTCGGGTCACAAGGAAGTCAGTGGTTCAAATAAAACTTGAAGATTTACCTCCACACAGAAAGATCTGAGATAATATCAATTGGTTGTGGACCTCCTATTTAAATATTTAGTTAAAATCCTAAGCCCCATGCATATACTCAGCTATTTATAGACATCCTATATGTCATAATTTTCCTAAGTTTAGCAATAAGCCTATGAAAAAAAATTCTCAACATTTTTGGCCATCAGAAAAACGCACATCAAACCATGAGATAGCACTTCACATCCACTAAGATAGCTGTACTAAAAAAACCAGAAAATAACAAGTGCTGGCAAGGATGTGGGGAAACAGGAACCTCCACACACAGCTGGTGAGAACGCAAAATGGTCCAGCTACTTTGGAGAAAGTTCTGGAAGTTCCTCAAAAGATGAACACATAGCGTTGTGGATGATCATTGGATTAATTCTTTCTCCCCACCCCCTTCCGCCCTGTACTGGAATCCCCAAGAGGATAGGATCCGTTTCTCATTCGTTCCATCTTGGATCCCCATTGCCTGCCTCTTTCCTGCCACATCACAGAGGTTTTAAAAAAACAAATGTAAAATAAATGACCGAAAATGGGAGTTGGGGCCAGATGAAGTCAATTACACCAATATTTTTCAAACTGCAATTTGTCATTCATTCACGTATCATAAAGTTAATCAATAAATACAGGGCACCTGGGTGGATCAGTTGGCTAAGCATCTGACTTTGGCTCACATCATAATCTCCTGGCTCATGAGTTCGAGCCCCGCATCGGCTCTGTGCTGACAGCTCAGAGCCTGGGGCCTGCTTTGGATTCTGTGTCTCCCCCTCTCTCTGCCCCTCCCCCGCTCATGCTCTGTCTCTCTCTGTCTCTCAAAAATAAATAAACACTAAAGAAATTAAAATCTATCAGCAAACATTTGAAAAAATAATGGAGAATAAACCAGAAAACAAAACCCCTGATAGTAGTAATTCAATATAGCATTATTTTGTGAAGGTTTTTCAGCATCACTTTGTTCGTAACAGCCAAAAGATGGAGACAACCTAAAAGCCCATCAACTTACGAAGGGATTAATTGTGGTATACCCACGCAGTAGAATAATACTCAGTCGTAAAAAGGAATGAAGCGCTGATTCATGCGACAACGTGGGAGAACCTTGAAAACATTACACGAAGTGAAAGAAACCAGACACAAAAGGCCACCTATTGTGTGATTCCATTTACATGAAATGTCCAGAAAAGGCAAAGCTCTAGAGACCAAAAGCGGACCAGTGGTTTCCAGCAATTGAGAGGATCCAAGACGTGAGAATGACTGCCAGTAGGCACAGGGTTTGTTTGGGGAGTGATGGAAATGTTCTAAAACTGGCGTAAAGATTGCACAACTACGTGAAGATACTAAGAACTATCATACTTTAGATGGGTGGGTCTTATGCCACTTTTATCTCAGAAAAGCTGTCATGCTAAAGAGAGAGAGAGAGAGAGAGAGAGAGAGAGAGAGAGAGAGAAGTAACATAGCAAGGTATTGGTTTGAGGGAAGTCCTGCCAGACAATAAACTGGTCTACACAGGGAATAATTACCTCTGGTTGGGTCTACCTACTCCCCTATCAAGGGTAGAAATGGTAGTAGGGTAACCAGTTTGTCCCGGTTGGTCTGGACTTTCCCTGTTTGCCCACTGAAGATCCCATGTCCTGGGAACCCTTCTCAGTCTGGGCAAACAGGGAAGGTCAGTCATTCTAAAAGCAGGGAAATCCATTACAAAGCTGCCATTCAGCCTGATAGAACGGGGATGGTGTGGCCGAACTTTTTAAGAAGAAACGATAACAATTCAACCTTATGGAAGTCTGTGTGAAACACAGATTTGACTAGGTAAAATGAATCTAGAAGAGAAACATTCAAACAACCTATCTGCACATATGGATAGCCTGGGCGTATACAAAAAGCTGAAGAAGTGGCAACGTGGCAGGTTTGAATGTGTTTAGAGATGATCCTTCATATTCGGAACACCACGGGCACGTGTGTTTACGTGATTCTGTCAGAAGCAGGTGGTCCTCTGGGCCCTGTTGTCTATGAAACTATTTGAAAGATACAAGTTACCACAGAACGAGTACCTGCCAGTCAATTTACGATGGAAATTGCTCCCAAACTGGAAGATACACTGTGAAGTCTAGAAAGCTCAGGGAGAATGTGCCAATTTGAGAGGCGACTTGGCTGGAAACACCCACTGTTGTGGAGACCTGCTCGTCTTTGGGCATCGAGCAAACACGGTGAACCTGGCCGCCAAGGTAGCTGCGTACAGATTACATCTCAGGGCTTCTCGGCACCAGGGAAATGGACTCGCCTGGAGACACAGGCAATTACCGCTCAGCTTCACGTCCAGCTCCAGGGGTAAGGAATAAACACACACCAGAAAAGTGTTAGGCAGTTCTACAGGCAGCTAACAGCAGTGTGGCCATTTCTGTAGTTCCAAAGATCTACCCTTTCAAATGAATCACTATGCAAAAAAGGGCAGCTGTTTCTTCTGTAAATATGCGATCCACCGAAGCTGGGGAGAGAGGGGATAAAGAGTAGGACTCCTGGGAAGAGCGCTTTGTGAGAATGTATTCCTGCACTCCAAGAAATTACCTCGAGGTTTACAGAGGTTCCTTCTGCCCCATCTCTGCAAGGCAGGTGGCGGACCAAAGCCCCGGGATGAGATCTTTCGATGACACTCACCGCCTCCCCCAAGCCCCATACCCAGAGGTTCCAGCAGGCCCTCCTGAGGGAGAACCAGCAGAATGTATAAAGGATGTAAAAAGCTTCACACACTTGGATATCAATATAAGAATTGTGTGAGCCAGGAATAATCATTGGTAAGCCTCTGGTACAGGCAATCGCTGACTCAGGGGAAAGACAGACATTTCAGGAGGGAGAGGGTGGAAAACAAAATACATGCAGTCATTTGTTTGACTTTTTTGTTTTTTATAACCTCTTTGATGTGACAGGAAAGGGGCGGGCGATGGGGCCCCAAGATAGAACAAATGAGAAATGGATCCTATCCCCTTGGGGATCCCAGGCTGGGGCAGAGGGGTGGTGGGGAGAAAGAACTTATCCAATGCTTATCCACAAAAATGACAAATTAATACTAGGAAGCAGAGGGCCGGCAGAGGAATGTTGGGAGCTTGACTTGGTCTGGAGTATCAAGGAGATCTCCTCCAAAATGGAGTCAGGTAAGCAGAGGTGCAGGAGGTAAATAAATAAGAGTTCACCAGGCCAAGGGGAGTAGGAAAGGGGAGATGTTCCAGCCAGGGGCAACAGCATGTGCAAAGGCCAGATGGTGGGAGGAAATACGGAGAGAAGGCTGATGAGGCTGGCCTCAGAAAACAAAGCACAGCGTGGTAGGAAGTGAGGTAACGGGGTTTAGCAGGTGCCAGACGAGACGAGGTTTTGGGGACCAGGTTAAGAACTTTGTTTTTTACCCTAAAAGCTGTGGGAAGTTACGAAACTGTGCCACCAGATCTACATTTGAAGGTGTTCGCTTTGGGACGAGAGTGGAGGTGGAAGGCCACTTAGGAGGGAGAGGATGGTGTCTTGGACCAGGAAAATAGCCTGGAGAGAAAATATTGGAAAATATACACTGGTTTGAGAGAAACTCAGAAGTAAAATGGACAGAATTTGGGTCACTGGGGTGGCTCAGTCGGTTGAGCGTCCAAATCTTGATCTCAACTCGGGTCTTAATCTCAGGGTCTGAGTTCAAGCCTTGCTGGGCCCCGCACTGGGCGTGAGACCTACTGAAAAAAACAAAATGGACAGAACTTGGTGCTGAGCATAGACCATGACTGAGAGGAAGAAGGCAAGAAT